ATTTTTTTGCTACTATTTCAGCCTTTTCCTGCAAGTAGCTAAAGAGGTATGATCCTCTGTAACTTTTTTTTTTTTTTGTATGTATTATTATGAAATTATTTGCTTCTTTCATTAAACTTTAAGGTAATACTTAATTATTGTTTTATCTCTATCAGTACAACATAAAAGAAGAAATATTCCATTCTCTCTAAGAAGGAAATTAAAAATCAATTTCTAAGCCATCTCATTTTGAAAAGTAATTTTGAAAACAATGAGATAGTAATTTGGAATTATATAATGAATAATTTCATGTTTTAGAGCACACAATAGTCAAGGGCCATTTGTTTAGTAAATTCAACTCAGTTTTCCAATGCAGCTCATATTTTATTTGTCCTGACTTTACTATCTCTATCTTCATTGTAGTGCAATATCAAAATATATGAAGACCTGATGTTTCTTACAGCTGCTTGTATTTCTGAGCAGTGATGGTCCCTTCTCCTCTGGTCTAACATCTCGTTTGAATGTGTGATGTGCTAGTTGCCCTCCAAGAATCAGCCTAGTGCTGACTACCAGGCATCCTTCCATGTGGTCTTTTTCCATGGCGGATGCTCTGCCATAGCCCTCTTTCTCCCCCACCACCACAGCCTGAGCCACAAAGTGGGGCAGTGGGGCTCTGACCATGCTGCCAGAGGACCATGCAGCCAAATGTCTCAAGTGCTCTACAAATAGCTGCAAACTCTTGCTTTAGAGGTGATAATATAACATGAGAAATTAAGATCACAGGTATTTTATGAATGGGTAACCTAAGGACATGAAGGCTAAGTCACTTTCCAAGGGCCATGCATCTGCAGAGCCAGAAATAACAATAAAATAAATCATGCTTAATAAAGTCTATGAAATAGAATCATGTCAAGTAGATTTTACTTCTCCCACTACTCAACAGTTTTTAACAAATCCTTAATTGGTACAAATTACAGTGACCTTCCTGAAACCATTGAAGCTTTCCCGGTTTCCAGAAAAAGAACACTGACCTGTTCATTTTCTGATTCACCTTTTCTCTCCTTGACAAAGGAAATAAAACCTAAAACTTTTTCATATGTGGGATCGCTGAGGCTGTTTTCAGTAAACCACTGTGCCTGCTTTACAAGATTTCAGGCAAAACCTGTTGTTTTTAACAAGCATGCCCTCGTGGGTTTTTTACTTCAGTCTGCTGTTGAGATAGAAAAATGCAGGTAGCCCAGCCTCCTTTTCTATACTTCCCTTATGCAACTGGTAAACTCTCAGAAATACCAACAATATTTGAAAGGCTGAGCAGCATTTCATCTGAAATGATGTAGCAATCCCCTCTTGCTGCTCACCTTTGTCATGTGCAGCATGTGAAGTATCTAATGGGTAAGAAGGGACTCCAAGAGCCCTTAGCAGCCACTAAGCTGTTCCATCAATGTAGCTCTGGAAATATTGAGCTAGAGTCAGATCAGATGTACAAAGAGCCTGCAAACAGAGTTACAGGTCTATAAACTTGGTATGAGAGGAGACCCAGCAAAACAAAACAGATGAGAAAGGCACAATTTGCTTGCTGTTAACCATCCCTCTGTAACACCACAGGTTATCTCTAAGCTGTATTTTCCACTGCATTGCTGGCTTGCAAAACTTTTAATGGAACAAGTTTTTCTGGCAGAAGAACATTGATTTTTATCTTTAATGAGCAACCTCTCTATCATTTAGCTTCAGGAAACAGCTTCCTGGTTGTAAACTGCTTGAGAGTGCTGACACCCAGTCAACTTCAAGAGCAGCCAGGAGAACTTTTCTTGCTAACTTTGGGAAGGAATTAAAAAATGCTGAAAGGTGCAGATGATGTTGTTACAGAGCAGGAGGACTCTGCTTCCCGACATGGAGAAATTACAAGTTGGGATATCAATGACATCAAGCTTCCCCAGGTATGTGTCTGTGTCTTAGAAATTTATCCAGGTCTGACCGGTCATCTTCACTTCACTGCTGATCTGAAATGCTTTTTCAGTCATCTATTCCTCACTGCCTTTATTCTCTGTGCCTTTATTCTCTTTGCCACCACGAGGTATGTGGCAGTGTTTCACTGAAAAGCTAGAAAATATTGGGCAAATATTGAAGTTTCCGTACATTTTTCTTTATACCTCCTTCTGAAAGAGCTGCTGATACATGGAAAGAGCGATGCTGTGGACATGTTGCCTTTCTAGTACACTAGTGGAGGAGGTGCAGAGAAAAGAGGGAAAAAAATTATCATCTGCTCAATTAGAGATGTCCGGGACTTGCTTTTTGCCCTGGGTAGTGCTTTATGAGAAGCAAGCACAGCACCCACGACTGCCTTGCCACTCTGGGTGCTCAGCCTTGCTGCAGATTGGGCTCCAGGCAAGCAGGCTGGCTTTCCACACAGAGGCAACACTCCTTTCATGAGCACCTGGGAAAAGCTTGTTTCATATTTGCAGAGATTTTCTGAGAGGCAGAATGGTGATCGTTGCCTCCCTCAGTTCTTTTCTAGGACTCTTATCTAAAAATTTCAGCCATGCTCTCCACTGAAGCCCACCACACCCTGCACGACAACGTCATCTCCCAGTCCCTCACCTCAGCATATTTGTGCCAGATTCCTCCTGCTGCAATCCTTCAGTGTCCAGCTCTGCCTTTCACCTCCCAACCCTGTCTTCTTACCTGATCCCACTCTCTCCCCTACTATGACACTGCTGTTTGCCCAAAGCCTCCATGTCCCAGCCTGTCTCCTTCCCTACCCTCCACCCCAAGGTCACCTTCACCTGCGTTTCAGCCTGGAGGCTTCCTCCACACTTTCCTACACTATCAAATGGCTCCTGGGGGAGCACAGGAGCTTTTCTCTTCTCACTTGATGTTCTTGCTGCTGTAATGGCTCCCAGTGGCTGGGATCAGCTATTTCAAGGAAATTACTGCTAAGTTTTTGTACCCCTACAAGACCTTTTCCTCAAAACCATAAGCAGGTATGTTAGGTGCTTTACAGCTTACTGCATTTTACTGTGTTGACTGTACCCACTGAGGCCATGTGTGTTTGTTCCTTTGTTGGGGTTTTTTTTTTCCACTGAGTTTTGGTTTTATTGTTCTTTACAGTGCTGTCCTTGAGGGTTTTTTTGCTTAGTCCATAGCAATGAAAATAAAACCTGATCAGGATGCCAGGTTTCTTTGTTTTGGACTTCAGAAAAATCACAGTGGAAGTCTTCCCTGACAGTTAGGTCAAAACTAACCAAAGTCCAGAACTAAGGACCTACAAATGTGGGCATAGTCTCAGTCTGATTTAGTATTTGCCCCTTTTCCAGACAAATCAAGCCAAATGATTCAGTGTAACACTGCTGTGAGTAGCCTGAAAGGTAAAGCAAGATCTCTGCCTTGAAAGCTAACAGAAGTTAGTCAGGCAGTGACTGCTTCCTGCAAGGAAAATACCTGCTATTTCATGTCAGGTGCCAGGGAGGTCCTGCACTGAGCTGGATCCATGAGTGAGTGGGAACAACCTCCTGGCCAGGCTTTGCTGATGCTTTGGTGCTCACAGGGAGCTGCAGGGAGCCACAGGGAGCTGTGGTTTTTCTACCTCCCTCCACTGCTCCCTCCCACCAACCAGCATCACCGTTCAGGCTAGAGGACACTCAGCAGAGGACCAGGTCTGCTGGGCTCTTGCAGAAGCTCTTCTCTTCCCCAGCCTAAACCATGGCTTTCTTTGGTCTCTTCACAGGATGTAAGACAGATAGACTGGTTTCAAGAATGGCCAGATTCCTACGTAAAACATATCTATAGCTCAGAAGATAAAAATGCTCAGAGGCACCACAGCAGCTGGGCAATGAGAAACACCAACAATCACAACTCTCGCATCTTAAAAAAGTCCTGCCTTGGGGTAGTGGTCTGTGGCAACGACTGCTCAACATTGGATGGGAGGAAGATCTACCTAAGACCAGCCATATGTGATAAAGCCAGGCAAAAACAACAGCGTGAGTATGAACACAGCAGTTCATTATGAGGCAGTTCCTAAGTGAACACAGCATAAAAGAAATGAAAGCAGAGGATACTGTTCGGAATATACAACCTTCCCGCTGCCATTCCTTGTATTTAAATGCAACTCTTGATTTTGGAACAATGCATTTTACATTTCTTACTGTTGGGGGATGAATTGTTTCCTTGTTTGTTTTCTTTTTTCTTTCTCTTTTAATCTCTATTTCTGACAGTTAGAGATGGATTCCCAGCCTTCTCGGGCCCATGAGTGAGGCTACTGAGAAAGTTGTGTGGTGCAGGCAGCTTCCTGCTGTGCTATTCCTACTGACCTCAGTGTTGGCTTCATTATTGCATGGGCTCAAGAGTAACTCAGGAGGCAAGTCTTGCAGGAAAGAAGTTTCTCATAAACTATGATGACTGAAAAAAGGCCTCATAGTCATGTCACCAGAGCAAGACAATGCAAACAGAGAACATGAGCTGCATGCACATTTTTTTACGACACCATTCCAAACAATTGTTGATCGCTCAGTAGAGCTAGCACATCCTGATTTCTGGATCTGATGAACATTTTGGCTAAAGAAAGGTACTATTCAAGCACTCACTGAGATCAGAATGATGTCTTCTAGAAAAAACAGACAAGAACACATACGGCATTCCAGACACTGCCAAGTTAAAAACAACTAAAACTGACCATGATAATAAATTATAATAAAGCTATAATATAAAAAAATTGCCAGTTATATTCAATAATGGAACAGAATAAAGGCTATTATTAGTTTACTTACATTGATTTTGCTTATCTTTGAAAGTTTTTTGCATAGATTTTCCCAGTGTATTTTCTGAGCCCCAAACCAGAAGAGCAATCCACCGCCAAAGAACCATTGTATCACATGGATTCATCCGTCGATGTTACACAGACAATATTTCCCACCCTTCTTTTCCAGGGAAATGCTGCCCAAACTGCAATGGACCCCTGCGGCTCCTCTCCTGCCGAGGCCATGGTGGTTACCCAGTTACCAACTTCTGGAGGCATGAAGGCCAATTCATATTTTTTCAGGTTGGTATGAAATTGCCTTACATTATGCAAGTTAATTTTAAAGACTGTTTTTTAAGATTTATTAAGGATGTTTTTTGTTCCAACAAATAAGGGCCATTAAATATGACAAGGTCAAACGACTGTAAGGAGAAAAATTTTCACAATGAGTGGGCAAGGTCCTAAGCAACCTGATCTAACTTTGAAGCTAGTCCTGCCTGAGCACGAGGTTAAGCTAGGCCTCCATAGATCCCTTCCAACCTAAATTAACCTTTGCTACTGTGATTTTACAGCATATTGTATTTTTCATTTAGCCTCCCAGGAAAACCTGTTGATTTTTAAACACTTTGCCTCAGGTACATAGGCACTAACACACGCTCAAAAAGTCAGAAATGCCATCTTATCTCAACCTCTTCTCCCCGGCACAACACATAAGCATGAGGCTATCTTAGAGAAGGAAATGGTCGTAGCCAAAGGACTGTCCATGAAAAATACCATCTGTGCATTATGTGTAACTTATATCTGGAAAACAGCACATGCAAGTGTTTAAATAATGGGTACTATTTCTGGAAGCTGTAGTTCTAGTTTAGTACCAAAACCACTGAACTGTCTCCTACTTTCCAGCCTTTCACTTATGTGCAGGTTAAATAAAATTAATTCTCTGTGGAAGCTAATGGAAATTAATGTTCTGATAAACATGCTTAAAGTGTGAGAAGAATGGTAATGACTGCAGGGACACTATAACCAGGCTGCAGAAGACCTTGTGACTTCAACTGGGGCTCTAGTGAGGGGAGTGTATTCTGCACATAAATGTGGTGCACTGGTTTTGTGATTTCTACTCCATCAGGCTTCAGCAAACATATGTTTATTACTTTTGAGCTCACATTAAATAAGTCTTATTAAATAAAAAGATTAAATCAGGCCATATGTGTGGTTTTGGCCTGTGCTACAAATTCTGCTCCCTTAAGACTAATAACAAGATTGTTTCTAACTTTAACATATCATAATTCCCTCCTAAAGTCCAAAGGAGCTCATGATCATCCACGCCCAGAAACAAAACTAGAAGCAGAAGCAAGAAGATCAAGCCAAAAAGCACAGACAGCTTTTTCTCCATCTTCTCCAAGATTAAAAAGAATCCAGGAGACTGAGGTAACTCTTATTATCAATAAAATTGTGGGGTCAGTGATCCATGGTTCAGGGCACAGTGAAGGTTATCTGGGCTTTGGGTCTAGGTGGGAACAGGCTTTATGTCTGTTCGCATTCTGCCTCCCTGTGATCAGGCCAAGAAGCAGCAGGGCTCTCCTGAGCATCCTGCTCTGCTCAGGGCTGTCATACACTGCCAGCACCCCTGTCTGGAGCCTCTCTGGGCCTGGTGGCAGCAGGGGATTGCACCTATACTGGTAAACAAAGCAGGGCTGGAGGGCAGGCTCAGTCATGTCACTATTCACATGGTCCCTGCCATGAGTTTGGCCAGGGCTAACTCATTCTCACAGACAAAATGCCCTGGCATGGGTCAGGAGAACAGCATGTGCAGGGACCATTCCCTGGCAGGATTTTGGACAAGGTTTCATCAGGTCTGGATCCCTTCGCTGTACACAGCTGGCTTTGAACCTACCTGTGCCTCTACATGCTGTCATGCTACAAGCCACAGGCAATAAGACTCTCAAGCTGATGCTGTGAAAAGTAGCCCTTGGTGGGCTGCAACACAGTCCTTGCATCATTTCACTCCAGGTCCAGAGGTCGCCAAAGGCCAGGATGTGTTGTGGACACTTCCAGGCATTGCCTTTTGGTCTCCATCATCAATGACAGTCTTTGGTCTCATTTTGTTTAACAGCGTGGACACAGCTTTAGAGCCCCAGCTCTTTCCTTTGTTAAATGTAAGAGTTGCCTTCAGAAAAATTTCCTACAAGTTCTTTTTTAGTGCTGCTCCAGAAATTAAATTATTTACAAAGAAATCCGGAAATAAAGTAATTAGATATTTAGTCTAATTGGTATTGATGTTGAAGGAGAATATTAGAAGGTTTTAACTGGATTTGACTTATAGTATTGATTGCACCACCCTGTGAGAAAATTGTAACAAATGAGCACTTGAAAACTGGAAAATACTTTTGGCAATAACTGGACTCAGGAGGAAGATTTGTGTGTGCACACACACATACACACACACATGCACAGAGTATACTATTTTACTATAGAATACAATATATAACATTACCTGTATGATATGCCTATTATATACTGTGTATGGTATGTTGACAAAACAAACTTGCCATTAAAAAGGCAAATCCAAAATTCCTTACTCCTTCTTCCTCCAGTCCCCCAACATTTACTTAAGAAAATCCAGTTACTTCAGCAGCAGTACTGGATCATTTTATTCACAAACTTAATACCCATCAGGGAGAGAGATGCTCTTCTGCAGGGCAGCTACCCCTGAGCAGGATTTGACCACCTCCAGACCCTTAAGGGTGGTGCAGGGACTCAGATGCAGGAGGCACTGCCCCAGCCTTGGAGAGACAGCAGGAGGTCATGTTTTCTCCACATTGACGTGTGTTCCAAGGCCCTCCACTGACATGGAGGAGGTGTCACAGAAAAGTGAAGGCATCCTCCACCTCTGCTCATCCCCCCTGGGTTTTGCCAAGGTTGATAAGGGGAAGGGTGCATCACCTCTGTCTGTTGTGCCTCACTTGCACCCCAGATCTCCAGGAGGGCTTTAGGCAGAAGGGTGCTTTAAAGGACTTTAAAAAGCACTGACATTAAAACATCAGCTCTCCTGGGTATGGAAACACTTATGAAAGCATCTACAGAGATCCCGTGGATTAACAAGTGCTTGATGGATGGAACCAGGTAGAGCAGTGAGGCTGTCTGCAGTGACCTTCCTTGCAAAGGCTGTGTTGCACACACCTGTACACCACTGGTCTTTGCATGCACTTTGTCTTTTATTGTGCTGGAGGTGGTGCATCCTCCCTAATCTAGTGTTTGGGACAGTACTCAGTGCCCCTTCAGCTATGGACAGAAAGGATAATTGGTCTGGGTGGGGACAGACTTCTTAAACAGATAACATGGGGAAGCAGGGGGATCCAAAAGCCCAAGAAGTGATTAAAAGAGTGAACAGAGGAAGTGAAACACATTTAAATAGAATATTACTTTAGGACCTGCAGCTATTTCTGTTGGAAATACTCAGGAGAACACTAAAAACCAGAGCTCAGGAGTGACTCATGGAGACACACTGTCAGGATGGGACAGTCAGAGAGTACAGGACAGATTGGTTGTGGCCTATTTACACAAGAGCCTGGGAACATGAGCATAAGAAAAAACAACTGAACCACTATGTGAATCTCTGCAGAAATAATGATTTTCACATCACTGGTTTAATTCTGTCCCCGTGAACATGAAGACAGTTCTCACCTAGGGAATGTTACTGAGCTACACAGCTTTGTTTCTTTTATGCCTGAGCCTACTGGTCTAGATCAAGATCCTTCTAGACATGTCTTCATCTTTCCCTTGCTACAACATCTTCCTGGTGCTTTCACTTTGAATTGTGTGGGCGTAGGAATGGACTAAAGGTGTTATAAATATTTAGAAATAAAGCCTACTCTTCAGCTGATTTGACTCTGTGCAGTCAGAGTGATACCATTTACCCTCAGATGGCTTGCCAGTTCATGGCTCTCCGGCAGGTTTAACCCATCATATTTTTGTTCTTGCCATGACTGGTTGTGATACAACAAACTCAAGGGTCTGATTTAACACCCAGAGTTTGTGTCACTGAATCTGCAAAAAGCCTTCTGAAAATATTCAATTTTCATGTCCTCACAAGAGACCCAGGAGAAGAAGTTTAGAAAAATGTATGAGACTAAAATAGAACATGATACGCAGTTCTCTATGGTGTCAGTGGTCTTTAGCTGAAGGTGGGCTGGGTCCCACATCAGGGTGTCAGAATTTCTTCTCATGGTAAGTGGAGAACAGCTGAAAGGAGCTTTGCTGTTCTGGCAGTCAGCAAGTCAGAAAATCACTGTAATTAAATGGATGCAAAAGTGGAATTGCAAACAAGAGAGACCTGTAAGTACTCATCAGAAATGACAGCGTAGAATGAGTGTTCTGAAAGGAATTAAAGTTTGCAAGATTATAATCTAATAATTAAAGAAGTTGTGAAATATTCAGGACTAAAGACCCAGAGGAATAATTATTGTGTGCTGCTTCCTCCCTGAACGAAATTTCTGTTTGTGGGGGAAAAAAAAATAAAGATAGGAAAATCTATCAGTTAAGAATCAGTTAAAAAAAAAATCATACTTAGCTTTTCCAAACTTCATAAAAAAATAAATTCTGTAGTGTCAAATGTAGTGGTATAATTTCATTTTCAGAATATGCGGGCAGCACATCCCGAGGGCAGTGAATGTGAGCTGTAACAATTCTTTCCGTGTAAAACAGGATTCGGGCAAAACCTGGTGAACCAAAGCCAGACCCATGATCTGGGAGCCCTGTTGCATTCGTCCCTAAAGCCCACCCCACTAGCCCCCCCCTGCCAGGAGGCTCTGCCGTGGCATCTGCTTCATTAGCTGTATTAACTGAACGCGTTTGTGAGGGTCTGGCACAGGAGGTTTTTTATTTCACGCTGCCAGACTACACCTCGTTTTACTAAGCCATGCCTTGCTTTCTCAAGTCTCTGACAGGTGCAATGCCAACGCGGGAGGCTTTGCCTTTGCTTCTCTCCAAGCCGGACGTTTACGTGCTACCTGCTAATTTTGGGGGACGATTA